AATGTTACATTCAACCTGAAAAGGGAATATACAAAGAACATTCACCTAGATTTGCAGGGAGAATGGTTCTGCCAATTGTTCATTAATAGACACCTATGCCCCCTCCCACGTCCGTTCCTCCAGTCAGCGCTGGAGGATCGGATAGGGGGAATCCCTGCAGGGAGATGATCGAGAAGTGAGGGAGCGACGTTATGTGTTTGCTCACTTCCCGATCTATTGAGCCGACGTGTGACTATTGAGCCAACAACTCGCTGATTTAAAGCAATTTACAGGTCGCATCATTCTCAGTCACCAGGAATTTTTACTGCCTAGCTGGTGCCTCCATATTATTACCCAATAATAAAACTGGCTTATTTAAAAAAAAGTTGCGCAAAGTGTAGATCAGGGTAGGCAAGCTTGGCACTACAAGTCTCATCATGCCTCTGCCTCTGGAAGCCATGCCTGTGGCGGTCAGGCCTTTGCAATGCCTCATGGGACTGGTAGTTCCACAACAGCTGAAGTGCTAAGGGTGCCTACCACTAGTATAGACGTTCGACACACTAAATGGATATTCTATAGCTTGATGCCTTGTTAAATAACAGAAAATAAAATGTAGGGTATTTCTCAAATCAATTAGTAAGAAATCCCTCTTGATGTTTCCATAAATTGGGTTAAAACCTTATTGGTTGCTACCTGCATTGGTGGGAGCTAACCGGCTTTTGGCGGGAATTGTCAGCGAATTCGCATGGCTACAAGAACTGTGGCCACCTTGCTTCAATCATTGGCACACCTGCCCACTGACAGGAAGGATGCTGCTGGGGGAGCAGAGAGCTATGAGGAGCGGTGGGAAAAGGATTCTGCGTTCTACTCCACATAATTGTGGTTGTCACCGTGCAGCCATGTGCCATCCACAAAGAAGGCATGCATTATCCTGCAGTTGGGGTGATGAGCCTCTTTCAGTGCCTGCCTGCATGTTCTTGCCTACATGATATTGCCCATTTGTTCTCTTTATATTTTCACAATTACTCATTTGCTGCCCGGGTATAGTAACAACTGCCTGTTTGATGCCCAAGTATTTTCACAATTGCCCATTTCTGGCCAATATATTGTCAGGATTTCCCACTTTGTTCTTTGTGTTTTGTCAAGGTTGCTCAAATACTGTTAAAGCAGAACTCCGGGCAAAAATATTCTTAACCCTTGCCGTGGGGTTACTCCCACACTGCAGGGGTTAAGTGCTTTTTTTTGTCTAGGTGCTAAAAAAAAAAAGTTATACTCACTTGATCCTCAGAGCTGGCTTGCTCTTAGTCTGGTCTTTGGAGCCTCTCTCCCCTCTGCTCCAGTGGTCTAAGGATCCTTGAGTTATCATGTTCTATACACCGTGTATAGGACCTGAGGACACCAAAGAACATACCATGGCTGCAGCACAGGCGGAGACGGACGTCAGGGACCGGATTGGCAACCAGATGGCTCAGCTGTTCAGGTGAGCATAGCTTTTTTTTTGGCACCCAGGCAAAAATGAGCACTTGCAGTGTGGGTGTAACACAAAGTTCTGCTATAAAGTTGCTGCATATTATAACAGTTGCCTGATTGTGCCCCATGTATTGTCAGATTGCAATTTTTGCCTGCATATTGTCAGCACTAGGTGTTTAGTCTAAATTATATGTATACATGTACATGAAGTTATAATATGGTGGCATACATGAGGCTACCTAACACATATATAAACAGGATGACAGACATATACTGTATAATGGGATGATATACATATGAGGCTACCTAAGATGTGCATGACAGGATGACATACATATCATAGGATGGCATACATGAAGCTACTTAAGACATATAATAGGATAACATACACAAGGCTATAATGGGATGGCATACATGAGGTTACTTAACATGTATATAATCAGGATGACAGACATACTGTATATGATAGAATTACATACATGAGGCTATAATGGGGTGGCATACAAGAGGCTACCTAAGACATATACAGTAGGATGACACACATGAGGCTTTAATGGGATGACATACATGAGGCTGTGCAGGATGTGTATAATATGATGACATAGATGTAGTTCCATAGGATGGCATACATGAAGCTAGGTAGGCTTTGTATGATATGATGACATACATGTAGTTCCATAGGCTGACATGGTATAAAGCTAGGCAGGCTGTGTATTATAGGATGGCATACATGAAGATAGGTAGGCTGTGTATAATATAATTACATACATGTAGTTCTATAGGTTGACATGGTATGAAGCTAAGCAGGGTGTGTACCATAGGGTGACAGACATGAAGCTATGTACAATAGGCTGTGTATAATATAATGACATACATGTAGTTCCATAGGGTGACATGGTATTAAGTTAGACAGGCTGTGTATAATATAATGACATACATGTAGTTTCATATGGTGACATGGTATTAAGCTAGACAGGCTGTGTATAATATAATGACATACATGTAGTTCCATAGGGTGACATGGTATTAAGCTAGGCAGGCTGTGTATAATATAATGACATACATGTAGTTCCATAGGGTGACATGGTATTAAGCTAGACAGGCTGTGTATAATATGATGATACGCATGAAGCTATATATAATAGCATGTGTATAATATAATGACATACATGTAGTTCCATAGGGTGGCATGGTATTAAGCTAGACAGGCTGTGTATAATATAATGACACACATGTAGTTTCATATGGTGACATGGTATTAAGCTAGGCAGGCTGTGTATAATATAATGACATACATGTAGTTCCATAGGGTGACATGGTATTAAGCTAGGCAGGCTGTGTATAATATAATGACATACATGTAGTTCCATAGGGTGACATGGTATTAAGCTAGGCAGGCTGTGTATAATATAATGACATACATGTAGTTCCATAGGGTGACATGGTATTAAGCTAGGCAGGCTGTGTATAATATAATGACATACATGTAGTTCCATAGGGTGACATGGTATTAAGCTAGGCAGGCTGTGTATAATATAATGACATACATGTAGTTCCATAGGGTGACATGGTATTAAGCTAGGCAGGCTGTGTATAATATAATGACATACATGTAGTTCCATAGGGTGACATGGTATTAAGCTAGGCAGGCTGTGTATAATATAATGACATACATGTAGTTCCATAGGGTGACATGGTATTAAGCTAGGCAGGCTGTGTATAATATAATGACATACATGTAGTTCCATAGGGTGACATGGTATTAAGCTAGGCAGGCTGTGTATAATATAATGACATACATGTAGTTCCATAGGGTGACATGGTATTAAGCTAGGCAGGCTGTGTATAATATAATGACATACATGTAGTTCCATAGGGTGACATGGTATTAAGCTAGGCAGGCTGTGTATAATATAATGACATACATGTAGTTCCATAGGGTGACATGGTATTAAGCTAGGCAGGCTGTGTATAATATAATGACATACATGTAGTTCCATAGGGTGACATGGTATTAAGCTAGGCAGGCTGTGTATAATATAATGACATACATGTAGTTCCATAGGGTGACATGGTATTAAGCTAGGCAGGCTGTGTATAATATAATGACATACATGTAGTTCCATAGGGTGACATGGTATTAAGCTAGGCAGGCTGTGTATAATATAATGACATACATGTAGTTCCATAGGGTGACATGGTATTAAGCTAGGCAGGCTGTGTATAATATAATGACATACATGTAGTTCCATAGGGTGACATGGTATTAAGCTAGGCAGGCTGTGTATAATATAATGACATACATGTAGTTCCATAGGGTGACATGGTATTAAGCTAGGCAGGCTGTGTATAATATAATGACATACATGTAGTTCCATAGGGTGACATGGTATTAAGCTAGGCAGGCTGTGTATAATATAATGACATACATGTAGTTCCATAGGGTGACATGGTATTAAGCTAGGCAGGCTGTGTATAATATAATGACATACATGTAGTTCCATAGGGTGACATGGTATTAAGCTAGGCAGGCTGTGTATAATATAATGACATACATGTAGTTCCATAGGGTGACATGGTATTAAGCTAGGCAGGCTGTGTATAATATAATGACATACATGTAGTTCCATAGGGTGACATGGTATTAAGCTAGGCAGGCTGTGTATAATATAATGACATACATGTAGTTCCATAGGGTGACATGGTATTAAGCTAGGCAGGCTGTGTATAATATAATGACATACATGTAGTTCCATAGGGTGACATGGTATTAAGCTAGGCAGGCTGTGTATAATATAATGACATACATGTAGTTCCATAGGGTGACATGGTATTAAGCTAGGCAGGCTGTGTATAATATAATGACATACATGTAGTTCCATAGGGTGACATGGTATTAAGCTAGGCAGGCTGTGTATAATATAATGACATACATGTAGTTCCATAGGGTGACATGGTATTAAGCTAGGCAGGCTGTGTATAATATAATGACATACATGTAGTTCCATAGGGTGACATGGTATTAAGCTAGGCAGGCTGTGTATAATATAATGACATACATGTAGTTCCATAGGGTGGCATGGTATTAAGCTAGACAGGCTGTGTATAATATGATGATATACATGAAGCTATATATAATAGGATGTGTATAATATAATGACATACATGTAGTTCCGTAGCGTGACATGGTATTAAGCTAGACAGGCTGTGTATAATGTAATGACATACATGTAGTTCCGTAGGGTGACACGCTAGGAAGCTAGGCAGGATGTGACGGACATGAATGTGATGCCCCGGTGCCAGTGGCAGGTAGCGGTGTGTTGTGGGTACGCTCGGTGGCACAGCTCTCGGGTCTGATGGTGTACCTCCACCCCTGGACTGATAGGCTCCTCCCCCCGGCACACAGCGCTCAGCCCGGAGGTGTTTCATTTCGTAGCAGGACACGTTGGGGCTCTGTCAGCATTCTTCCAGGGAGATCACGGAGCTGACACAGGGGCTCCTCGGACATATTATGTGTACCATGACCAGATGCCCTCTCTCTTTTTATCTAGCCCCTGCTGGAGGAGAGCCAGGCTTGGGACGAGAAGCGTCTGGTGCAGCAAGTCAGAGAAGAGGTAAGATGTCCTCATCTTTTGTCCTGTACCTGTTGCTGCTCCGCAAACTTCAGCCTTTCTAGCATCCTGTCCCGCACTGCTCCCATCCAACTTCTCCACACACTCCACTGCAGGACAATCCCTTCCTAGGAGATGAAGAGGAATTATTCTTATCACTCAGTGCCCTGCATGACAAGTGCACAAGTGGGGACAGGAGGCTCCTTTCACAAAGCTTCACACAACCATCACATCTTTGCGACCCTGATTTTCAAACCTCATTGAAAATAGCTCACTTTTTTTTTTCCTGAAAGTAACGATCGTTATGGTGTGGTGTCAGCTTGGTGAATAGTGCCAGGGGTAGGGAAGAGACACCCTTTGTCTTCTAAAGAATGCAGGTAATTTCCTCCCTGTCCTCTTCTAGCTCTACATCTGGGAATTACAGGACGTCATCATTTTTTAGAACTTCTCATTGAATTTCAGGAGCAGTATTACCCATCTCATGCTGGAACCTCTGTTAACCCTTTATGAGGACTTGTGCTAGTTACTAGTGCAGCACAGACAAGGATTCATATCTATAATAGCAGCCCCTGTAAATGAGAGTAGTATAAGGATCCGTTTCATACAATCTGTACATGAACTACTACATTGAGTTCCAGCAGACGGAAGAACAAAACATTTGAAAGTCAGTCCTTGTGTCTGATTCCTTTAAAGCAGCCTTTCTCAGCCTTGTTAATGTGAGGGAACCCTTGAAATAACTTTTTGCTGTCAGGGAACCACAGATAATAATGACTATATCTACAACTCATTAACATGATGGCCAGAGGAACAAAAGCCCCTTACATTTGTAGTCAGTGGGTAAAATTCCCCATTACCAATAGCTAAAATGATTATTGGCTACTTATCTGAAAGGCAAACATTGCTAATTACTCAAGGAGCCCTAGCAACCTCTGGTGGAACCCCTAACAACTTCTGGAGGAACCTCTAGCAACTTCTGGAAGAACCCCTAGCAACTTCTGGAGGAACCTCTAGCAACTTCTGGAGGAACCTCTAGCAACCTCTGCAGAAACCCCTAGTAACTTCTGGAGGAACGCTTAGCAACTGCTGGAGGGACCCTTGAAATAACTTTTTGGTCTCAGGTAACCCTGCTAATATGTGTTATATCTTCAGCACATGGTACATTAGTGTGATGGTCAGTGGGACGAATGCTCTACATTTGTAGTCAGTGGGTAGAATTCCCCCCTACAGATAACTAAAATGATCATTGATGTCAGTGGTTATGTATCTGAGAAACACAATTTGTTCATTGCTCAAGGAACCCCTAACAATCTCTGGGGGAACCCCTGAAATCACTTTCTGCTCTCAGAAAACCGCTGCTAATAATCACCATATCTACAGCTTATGGTACATTAACATGATGGTCAGTGGGAAGTATGCTCCTTACACTTATGGTCATTGGGATGATTCCCCCCTACAGAAAACTAAACAGATCTTTTGTGTCAGTGGTTATGTATCTGAGAACTTACTGAAGGAACCCATCCGTTCCACAGAACCCTGGATGAGAAAGGCTGCTTTAAAATAATACATTTGATTGGTACATGTAGTCAAGAAGGGAAAAGGCTTTTTCATTTATGTAAAATGATTATTGATATGTTATACTGTGTGTTCTTGGTGAATGATTTAATTATAACCTGAAGAATGTTGCCGAGTCTATTTTAATACACAGTCAGAGCAGCCATCCTCTGATAAGAGTCCATTCTCACACTTATCAACTATATGAAGTATGCATATTTTAGGAACGTCATTTCAGACTGAAGAGGGTATGGAGGTTTTTTTTTTTCCAGCTAGTGAAGCAATGGAAAAATGTGTGTGTAGCGTCTGTTTATAGTTTCTTACGCACATGGGCCATCTGCACACAAGGAGAGTATCTCTAAACAAACTCTGTAATCTCCACTCCAGGTCTCAAAGTGGACTCGATTAAACAAGAGGAACAGGAGAAGCACAGGCAGAAAACGACAGCACGAGGAAGAATTTCACAATCAGGTAAGAATACAATCACATCTCGTTGCCTCTCTTTTCACTCTTCTTTTTCTTCTTTTGTAATGTCCATGAAGAATGTTTTATGGGGTTCAAAATGCACAGTTTTCAGCAGTGTTCCCTTTTCTTTATAGTCTGTTGTTTTCGGTGTAAAGAAATATGTTTATAAACTCACATATTCCTAATGGAACTATTGGTTTTGGAAGCAATCTCCTGGAAAAGCCATGTTGCGTTCTCTGTTAAATGATCTGTATTGTTTGAAACAATCTGTAAATCTGAAAGGTAGTAGGTATTACAATGGTTGTTTCCTCCTTTGTTTTGTCATGCTGTCCAAGCAGCTAAAGCAATGTATGTTTTTTGTATTATTATTTACATTTGTACTATGTAGTAAGTTTGCAGTGTTTAGTATAAGTGGGAAAGATTTGCTGTTATATTTATTTTGTGCTGTTTGTGTTTTGTATGTCTGGGCTAGTTATATGTACTCTTATGCATTACTATGTGATAGGGATCATTTACAGTTTTATTACGTGTACACAAGTTATATTCATTTACAGTTGAAAAATATCTGTTGTTACAAAGTTTCAGGCAACATGTGGGGGGGCCTCAAAATGGCAGTCAGAGTCTCGGAAGCACGTTTTGCTTTTTCACTGTCTTCTTTTTGTTACAAAAATATAAAGTAGGCAACCTTGTATTTAACGAGAAGGCAATGGATAATTTCTTCCTGGGATTCTTTTGAAAACATAGTTTATTTTTCAACATCTTTGAGTTTTAGGTATTTGCTTTCTTTCTTTTCACAATAGCTGCTACTTCCTGCAGTTGTGGCCCCTTTTGTGATTTAGTGTTTGTTGCATGATGTATGTGACACACCGGGATAATATTTCACTCCCAAGCTTCAACCTTCCTGACAGGTAGAGCATAGATTTATTCCCTGCATCTAGACTTCAGTATAATGGGGCCAAGTTAGAAGGCTCTTTGAGGTTATGAACAATATTGCCACTGTTTAAAGAAAGAAAAAAAAAAAACAACAGAGGGCAGTGTATAGTAGCCAATGGCAACCATTAAGCAGACTAAAATTTATAGATTTCTGATTGGTCCCTCTTTTGCCAGTTAAGGGAATTTATTTTTAAAGCGGATGTGATTAACCTTCCCTCTGTTTTGGAGCTACAAGTCACAAGAAATCCTGCCAGCCAAAAGCCTGAAGGTCGTGCTGTTAGTCAATCAATAGGTGGAAAGCTGGAGGATT